CTCATTATATTATGGTTTCACCTTGGATTGTAATCCTTCTAGAGTAGAGTTCAAGAATGGATGTACAGTAAAGTGGGTAAACCGCAAAAGTACTCCTTTCCTCCTTTCTGTTTCCTATTTCTAAAGGAAATTTTGCTACTTTCCTGACCTTATTACCTTTTAGACTGGAAAAAACCATTGCTGGGTATTCTAATCTTTCAGTGACTACTTCAATGTTTTTCCTTAGAGGCATTTTGTCCCTTCATTCGATTTCTTCCCATCTGCAAGCAAGCATGTCTAACCAGTGAACATTCAAATGTGATTCCAGTGTTGAGATCCTTTCTAGGGATCTGAGAGGAGAAGCATGACTAAAAGAGACCGATGGAGGTGTTGCCGTGGTAGCACAGGTGGTAGTGCACTGATCCACTGTGCTGGAAGCCACAGAGCCAACTGCAATTCAGATCCCAAGTCAACCAGAAACACAGTGGGTACTTACAAGCCTAAGATCTTGACTTGCTGAAGGGCTTGGAAAAGAAGACTGTAACATAACAAGGCCCTGTGGAGTCTCTCTTTCTCTCTCTCTCTTTCTTCTGTCTCTCTTTTATGAAAAAAATCAACTTTTTTAAAAATAAGAACCCAATAGAGCAGCCTTGCACGCAACGGTACTTGTTTCTGTCACACACACACACACACACACACACACACACATGTGCATATATGGGGGGGGTCAAAAAGTTCATGGAAAATGTGTGCTATGAAACTACGATGGATGTTGCAGGATGGCCAGGTGGTGCAGTGGTAAAACAAAATGCTCTGCAAAGGCAATCCCACATGGGAAGGCTCCCAGTTCAAGTCCAGAGACCTCCCTGAGTACATTGGTTGTACACTTACCCATGATTCAGGGCTAGTGGTAGCCTGGGGGTTGATTGAGGTATCAAGATTCTGTTATGGGTTCTCTCTCTTTCACGCATAGAACAAATAAATACATTTTATTTTTAATTTAAAAAGGCACTGGTGAGACCAGCAGATGGTGTAATGGTTATATCGCTGGATTCTTACATGGCCAACTGCAGTTCAAGTCCTGGACTTGATGGCTTGAAACTAATGCTGGGTGGGCATGTATGTGTGTGCATGTCCAAGATCCTTAGAGGAGAGTGGAGGAGAAGGGATTGAGATGTGGCCATCCTCCCTGGGGATGTGTGGGGTAGAGAGATGTGTTTATTTCTGGTTGGTCTGGTTGCCAGCTCTTTAGAGAAGTAGAGTATTGTATTTTCTGTCATTGTGCTTCTTTTCTTCTTAAGAGTAATTTCTTATAGTTCTTTAGTATACATTCTCATATCTGATGTTGTATTAGAATGGGGCCTTTGTTTTCTAATTTTAACCAGTCACTGTCCCACCGGGTGGCACAGTGGATAACATACTGAATTGTAATACTGGAGGCCATATACCAACTGGTTTGTATCCCTAGCCCTGTTGGCCTGGAACATTTTGAGTATTTGTTTGCACATGTGCCCAAGATTCTGATGGGTTGACGGGGATTGCAGCATGAGGATACCCTCTCTCTCTCTCTCTCTCTCTCATGCATATATGCACACACTGTCTATCATGAATTAAAAAAAAAATTTTTTTAATTCTCACTTTCTCTCTGGTGAGTGCACACACCCTATAGAAAAAATTTCTCTTAAAAAAAGGGCACTGACTCCATGGACTATTGGTTAAGAGAACCAGAGCCCATATAGCTAACAGATGGTTCAAATCCCAGCCCTGGCCTCAATGTGTTTTTCCAGACATGTGTTGGTGCACGTTCCAAATCCTAACAGGATGGAGAACCAAAAAAGGGATTGTGGCATGACCATGCCATGCTTTTTCCCTTTCTTTCTTTTTTTTTTTTTTCTCTTTCTGGTAAACCCATATGCTTATACTCTGGAAAATGACAAATAAAATGTAAACAAATAAGTTGTCTATATAGTTGTCCTAGAATTAGGATGGTCATAAAATAAATGAAGAAAAAGAAAAAAATATTGGTTCAAAAATTGTTTACACCAAAAGAATTTTGGATTTTAATTTCATTTTTCCCACAAACTTTTTTTTTAGAGAGATTTTTGCAATAGGGCACCTGTGCTTGCCAGAAAGACAGAGAGAAAGAAAGTGAGAAATCACCCCCTGGGGGGATGGCCATGCCACAATTCCCTTTCCTCCACTCTCCTCCTGGGATTTTAGTGACACATGCATATGCCCTGGGCATGAGTTTCATGACTCTTTGTCCAGGACTTGAACCATGGTCAGCCATGTGAGAGTCCAGTACCCCAACCACTATGCCACCTGCAGCTCTCTCAAACATTTTGAAGCACTTTCATATATATATATTCATAAATATATACACACATATACAAATATACTATACATATACACACATACACTTACATATGATATATATGAGGGGGGGCTTCAAAAAGTTCATGGAAACACATATTATGAAAAACTACAAATAGATTTAAAATTTGTTTTGCACTAAAATAAACTCACAATTTTAAAGAGCTATTTAATTTAATTTAATGTAGTTATTATTTTTTCAAAGAGAGATTATTGTTATAGGGTGCGTATGCTCACCAGAGAAGCAGAGAGAGACAGAGAAACAACAGGCGAGAAGTGACCCCCCAGGGGAATGGTCACACTGCAATCCCTTCTCCATTCTCAAGATTTTGGGTATACATGCACACTTGCCTGGTGTTTTTTAAGCCATCCTGTCCAGAACTGGAACTGCCTTTGACTACATGGAGTCCAGTGACGTAACTGTAACGCCATCTACTGGTCCATATTATTATTATTTTTAAAATTTGCTGTAGGGTACATGAGCACACCAGAAATAGAGAGGGAAAGTGAGAAAACAAGTCACCAGGTATGGGACTTGAATTGAGGTTGGCCATGTGGGAGGGAGTCCAGTGCCTTTAACCACCACGCCACCTGCTGGGCCCAATAAACTCATACTTTAATTCTGTTTTTCCATAAAGTTTTGAGCTCTGTGTGTGTGCATGTGTGTGTGTACAGCCAGGTACTTTTTTGGGAGGTGGGGAATGAGTTTTCATTCACTGTTTGTTAAATGTTGGAATTCCTGCTCTACTTTTCCCATCTTTAGGGTAAAATACAGGTCCATCATTTCTCATATGAAAAGCTTGAAGTATGGGGCTATGGGGCATATAGGCGCTCAGTAAACATTTGTAGACCGATTAGTTTCCCATTTAGTTAAGACTTTTCTATATTGGGGAACGCAGACTTTTCCAAATATTTGAAAGACACTATGATGCGTATACTATAAATTACACAACACCCAACAGGATCTGTGATTGCATATTTATTCACACTAAGTGAGAAACATCAAAGCCATGAAGAGCCTCACATCAATTTGAAATATGTTTTCCCACTAAATGAGTTTGCTACAAACTTACAAGAAGAAAAACACATCTTTTTGTCTTGAGAACGTTTTGCATTTTGAAACTGAAAGTTAGGGGCCAGGAGGTGGCACAGTGGTTACCATGCTGGACTCCCACACAGCTGACTGAGGTTTAAGTCCCAGACCTGGCTTGCTTTTTTTTTTCTCTCTCTCTCTCTCTCCCTCTCTCTCTCTCACACACACACACATGCGCGCGTGTGTGCGCACACACACGCCCCATAGCAAAAAAAGAAAGAATAATAATAAATAAAATTAATAAATACGATAGAGGGGTAAGAGCGGTAGATCTGTATTATGTTGTGCAAATTCTCGAAACAATAGCATAGTGAAATAGCATGAAGAATGATGAAGTAAAATACATAGTTGAGAACAAGTCAGAAAAACGAGGTAAAACAAGTGAGAGGTAGGGCAGGGGGTGAGGAGATAGAACAAAGACAGAGACAAACATAAATTGGTTAGCAAGGAAATTTCCTAAAGGCAACCTGATAGAATTTTGAGGGAAAAAAAATATTTCTTTATAACTTTCATATCATAGTCAAGACATTTCCTTAAAGAATATTTTTTGAATGTACATTATACAGTCACACACCTCAGCCCAGGTAAAGGAAAAATATCACAAGCCTGCCTCTCCCACTCCCGCACTTAATCGAATCGTCCTAGTTTATAGGTTTTTCAGTGGGACTGTGTCTAAGAAGCACTTGAGCTCCTTTGTATTTAGCTGGGAGGCCAAAAAACCCGCTGAAGTTCGGGGTTAAAGACCTCTGAGTGCTCTAGGCATTCTTCATTCAGAGTCCTGCAATAATTAGCATGATAATGATTGAGAAGTGGGGGGAAAGTTGCCAGTTCCCTGAATTGCAAATGTAAGAAAACCTAGGGGTTTTATTTCGATTTGGATTGGCTCTTATTCTCCAGTTATTTGACACTAACTCCATTGTTTCTTACACTCAGAATGTTACTTTGGGTCAAAATGTGGCCAGCCTATGGAAAGATGTGGTTAGAAGGGCAAACATGTTATCAACAAAACGTAGGAAATCCTGGAGTGTTGAGGATATTTTATAAGAGGGAGAGGGTATATTTTCAATTCTTCAGATCTTAACCTCTATTTTGAATGTCCCACAAATTTTTGCAGGTGGTAAATGATTTGGAAACATTCCGCCGCCTCCCCCCCTGCCACAGAAATACAGTGACTTATGTAATAAATTGTTTCCTTATAGAAAAGATAGGAAGTAGTCAAAGAGATACCAAAGACTGATAACCCGCCAATCATATGCTACCCTACTCAAGTATAGACTTCCGATTTCAATTTGAAGGGGTATTTATTCTTCAAGTATAAAAGTAATAATAAAATGTTTCCTTAAGAACCAGGACAGAGTCCTGTTATGCTGAGCCCTTAGCCCAGAGCGCACAGTAGGTGCTCAATAAACATTTGTAGACTGATTAGTTTCCCATTTAGTTAAGACATAACACTTTGCTTATTCAGGCCCTGAGCTACACCTTGCCAGGGAACAAAGACCACTCACTTAACACCCAAGGAAGGATTGAGAACCAGCTTGGCATAGGGCAAAGCGGAATGAATAAAGCCTTTAGCCAACAGGCCGAGGGCAGAGCAGCGGAGGTACAGATAAGGTTTACTTCACATTTCGCAGCTCTCCTTCTCACTTTAGCGCCTGCGTTTTCGGAGCAAACGCCCTTCAAAGGCAGCGCAAAAGCAGGCGAGCGCAGAGAACAGACGCGGTAGCAGGCTTGGAAACAAAGTGAAGAAACTGGGAAATCCGAGGGAGCAGGGATGGACGGGGGGCTCTGATCTCCCGGGTTTGGGAAGGGGATGAACTGCCTTTAGTCTTTCCTCCTCCTTCCAAATCCCTGGGGATGTGAAATTGGCCGGGGGAGGGGACGACGTAATTCGGAGAGAGGACCTCTCTCTGCTCCCCCAGCCACAGCCTAGGAAAGCAGGAATCCCCATCTG